GTCCCAGCTACTCGGGAGGCTGAGGCAGGAGGATCGCTTGAGCTGAGGAGTTTGAGGTTGCTGTGAGCTAGGATGATGCCACGGCACTCTAGCCCGGGCAACACAGTGAGACTCTTTTTTTTTTTTTTTAATTTCTCTCCCTTTCGGCTCTCTACCTATACCCTCCTTTATCTCTGCTTTCTTCTTTGGCTGTACAATTGCAGAACTAATGGTGCCAAAGAGGAAAATAATGTGAAGCAGCCAGGAAAGACAAAGAATCTTTGTAAGGGTACCGACTATGAACCAGGTGCTTTCCATATGTTCTCATCTAATCCTCACACCAGCCTGATAAGGTATCATGACCCCAATTTTTCAGAAAAGAAAACAGACTCTGAGAGGTTAAGGAATCTGCCTAAGGGCCAGGGAGACCAATTACCTCAGTTTGCCCAAGACTGAGGGGGTTCCTGGGATGTGAGACTTCCAATTTTAAAACCTGGACAGTCTCAGGCAAAGCTGGTCACCCTACCAGGGACACACAGCCTGTTCTTACTCTTTCATAGATTCAGATTTGAACTTAGGTTAGCTGGGCTCCAAAACCCAAGCACTTTCTTCCAAAACTGCTTCTCCCAAACTAAAATCCCTCTCAAACTTCAGAAGCCCCATTATTTTCCTTCCGCACAGGCTTGTGGGACTAACCTAATTCTGGTGAAAAATGTTCAGCCTCTTTTTATTCTATCTTTTCCTCTGCAATCTATACAAATCTTTCTTAACTCCCTAATACAGCGCACCCAAAGGACCACCATTGGCAGCTTGTATGGGACAATGAAATAGTAAACTGAAAAATTAAAAGGTAAATGCGCCTATAGAAGGGTTTTCTTTTAACCCACCTTATTTCTCCTTTACCATCATTAGCATTAAAACCCCTTGGTGTGGGGAGCAATGATTAGGGAACTGAGAGATAAATTGTTCCTGCTTCAAAGACACAAGAATAGGAATGACTGCAGCAAGCCTGTCCCTCCACCCCCATCCCACCAGGGGACTGAGGTAAAGATGAATACTAATTTAAAGCAAAAAAAGTAAAAACAGTAGTATAAGGAAGGCTGGGCAGTTCCTAGGGTCCACATGTATTATAGGGTGATATCAGCAGGTGGCATTTAGTGGTGGCTTGCAATGACGAAGTGTATCTAAGGTTTATACCATCAGTAGGCCTCGGCCTTGTCATTGATCTTCATTCTCCAGTGTTCCCATTTGAACCCCTTAGAACCCAGCCCTGGCCTGGAGCCTACTACCTTCTCCACTATTATTCAGTGTCCCCAGCCTCAGGACCCACCAATAATGATGTAAAGGGAAGAAAGAATTGGGAGAGGGTCTGAGGTGGCATTAAGAGATGTGACTTTAGCAACCCAAGCATGAACTATCACATACAGAATGTTTCTGCAGGAAAAAAGATTTTTCTAAGCAAGTCAATGTCATACAGAAACTACAACATCAAAACTGTATGCAAGAGAATACCTAAGTACTTCCTCAAAGGCAACGGGCTTTACTGCCACAATACCTGGGGCAGTGCTCCAATGACTGTGTAATAAATATTGATTAAACGCATTTTCCATGCTTGAGAAATTCCACTATTTTTCCTTCAGTCATATTTCACTGACTCCCAGCACACGAGACACAGCCAGTGAGTCACTGGACTACACTCTTGCTACTCAAACTGTGGTCCATGGGCTATCAGCATCTGCATCATCATCAGGGAGCTTATCAAATCATAATCTGTATTTTTAAAAACAAGATCCCCAGGTAAATCGCATGCACATTAAAGTTTGAGAAACACTGCCTTAGAAGTTTGCTGTATACAAATCCTTCCAATCCCCAACTCCAATCTCCACATCAGCCTGAGGAAAAATGGAGCGCACGCCCTGCCCAGCGATTAGCCAACGGCGGGACTGAGACTCTTGTCATCCCGGGAGTCCTTCCTGACAGTCCCCCGTCCGCTCACCTTGATGCGCTCCCCATCAATCTCCACTGCTCGTTCTCGGAAATCCACCCCAATAGTGGCCTCGGTGCGGTCGGGGAAGCGGCCAGCGCAGAAGCGGTAGGTCAGGCACGTCTTGCCCACATTGGAGTCGCCGATCACGATTATCTTGAAGATGCGGGAGCGGGCCGGAGGCAGAAACCCTGGTGTCCCTGACACCGCACCGCTGGACGAGAAGCTTGCCTCGAGCGACGACTCCATCTCCGAAGCCATTCTCCCGACCCGCCCCAAACTGAGGCGGAGGACTGGAGACGCAGAAAGGATGGAGATTACGCCACCGCGAGCCAGTGCGCGCAGCTTGCCAGTTCGGCTGCGCAACGTCCCAGGAGTCCCCACCCGCCAGACGGGCAGCGCGCGTGCGCACCTTCTCGCCCCCGCCCCGCACAGGTGTGGCGCCCACCCGCACCGCCCCCCTGACCCCGCGTGCAGCCCCACGCTCGGCGTCACTCGGGCCGGCGCCCGTCTACCTGGGAAGGCGCGGGGTCGGCCGGGGCTTGACAGCGGCGTGGAAAGCCAGGCTGCTGGGCGGCTGAGCGGAGCGCCCCAGGCCCGGCACCCAGGCTGACTCGGCCCCGCCACGTCCAAGGTTCCCGCCCTCTGGAGGAAGCCGCGCAGTCGCTCTGGGGGCGGGGAGAGAAAAACAGCTGAGAGGAAGGAGGTGCCACAGGCGCTCTCTCGCGAGAGGGCCGAGGAGCCGCCTTTGGCGGGGGCGTGTGCCTGGGGAGCGACGGTAAGGACGCCGGGAGGCTAGGGCTACGGCCTTGGCCCGGTTGTCGACTTATTGTTGGGTCTGCCGGACCGGAGGAGTCAGGTTCCCTTGGCTTACAGCTAGGGGCAGTGGCATCGTCTGCGCTCACCACCGCCTCCTCGCTAAACCGCTGCATTACACTTTGAATAACAGCAAAATGAAGTTATGTTAGAGTAGACAAAACTTAGAAGACAGTGAAGTATGTTGAGTAGGACTCCCCAGCGCATGGAGTTCCCGGACGGGCAGTCCTGGGTGCCTGACTCATCCCTGCTCATCTGTGGCCAGTGAGAAAGAAGGGCCTGACGGAGGAAGAGAAGGAGCCAGCGGGGTACTTCCGTATGAGGGAGCTCTTGGCAACATTCAAAAACCTCACACTTCCACTCTCAAAATCAAGAAACACACCAACCCGGCCCAGAGGTTTCTTGACATAGTGAGGAACCATCGGGGAGATGATGAAGAGACTGTAGTGATTATCCTCCTTCAAACATAAAAGTAGAAATATGTCCTTGGATTCCAGCAATGTGCCGTTCTTCCTTATCCAGGAATCTTTACAGACTCCTAGAGCGCAGTCCCTAGAGTCGTCTACGTCCAGCTCCCAGTAATGTTTCCCAGAGGTGAAGGCCTGGACTCCCCTCATAGCAACGTAGTTAGATGCATCAGAATTCAAAGAGGCATCTTGATAATCAGGTCTAAGTATCAAGCTTCTCACATCGTCAAACAGCCTGATACTGTGATTGGTTGTTTCATTACGGAAGTAAATCTCCACCCGGAAGCAGTTGAGACTGTCTACCAGTCTGGTAATGCGCGCTGCACTGAGTTCTGGATTCAGAGGCTGGGGCATGTGCTTGCGCACGGACTCACTGCTTGTCAGTATATCTCCGAAATCCTGGAGCAGCTCCACATCTGGTTTATGGCACATTTACTTACATCTTTTTTAGTTGTTTCCTCTTTTCATCTATTTTGGCTTCACTTGTATTAAGTTGCTGAAAAATCTTTTGGCTTTCCTTTTTCAGTCTCTCTATATGATGTTTTCCTTCCTCTTGGACAGCTGGAAGCAGGTTCCTGTACTCATCCCTGATCATCTTTGCCCGTGGATCCACATAGCCCCCGCACAGGAGGATTATTGTCTTCTCCTCTTGTAGATTTCTATGATTTTCCTGGATCTTTTTCCATAAAGAACTCATTTGCTTTAAGATCTTCACCCGGTGGTTCTGAGCTGCCACTTCAGTGGGACAGTGTCTGTGAGCCCCACGGTCCTGGGAGTTAGAGCAGAGCAAGCAAAGCAGGCTCTTGTCCACTTCACAGAGCATCTTCTTCTCCTGGTGGGTCCCACACATTTATTCCTCAGAGCTCAGGAATTGCAAGAGGCTGGCTTTTCTGGCAGTGGACACTAGATTCTTCAGAAAAATATTGGTTTTGAAATCTTTCTGCTGTTATGGTTTCCTCCATTCTGGGCAAGAGGCATGAATGTGGGCTTCTACCCAGAAGAGACAGAGGCAGGGCCTACGAAAGCTGTGCCCACAGCCTATGGTGACCGGGTCTATAAGGTAGCTCAGGAAGGTGCTACAGGTGAGTTCTCTCTGGAAGGCTTGTGTGATTTCTGAGTCCATTTTCCTAAAAATTATATCAAGGTTCTCACCAATGTTTGCTTTAGAAGTAATAATATGAAGTCAGTTGGGACAGCAGCAAGGGCTGAATACGGTGGGGCGTGAGCCATCGCCAAACGCCATCGCCGAATGCCAGCCCGGCGCCGGATGCACTTGAAGGCGAGGTCTGGGCAGCACTGAGCTTTGCAGCCTGAGGGCATGGCGGGCGCATTGCTGCCAGGGGGCTGGGGGTACTTCAAGGCCACCTACCACCTAGGCAGCGGAGGCCATGTGAGAATATCCGCGGGACCACGGTAACCAAGGCTCGTTTGGCTAACGTCCCCAGCCCAAAAAGTACAGCACATCAGATGTGGGGCTCTTGGGGGCATTGGACCCGGAGTTGTTACTAGATGCCTCTTGGTGAAAATAAAACCCATCGTGCCTTAGTTTTATGTGTTAGTGCCTGAGTGAGGATGATGTAGTGGTTAAATATCACTGAGCACACCTAGAGCTGTCTTTGTCAACCTGAAGAAAATATTAATAGATGAAACCACCCAACTTTAAAGAATCTCTGTGAATTCTTCTGAGGAAAATATTGCCATACCAAAAGTCCCAAATGTGTAAACGTATTGTTTTTTGTTACAAGTTTTGTTTTGTAATGACAAGACTTCATTTTATGTTTGAGCAGATGGATGTGCCTTTGGAAAGTCAAAGACTTTCTCACTCACCTGGTTTAATGTGTATGCCAATTACATTTTATTCAGTTTCCTGTTTTAGAAACCAGAATATGTGCTGGAAAATCTTAATTGTTTATCTGCGAAGTTATTTCCATGAACGTTAATCATCCACAAACTATTAAAGGGCCTTGGAGTATATTCCTCTAATCTACTCTACCCATCCCAATCAAAGGAGAAAATCTGAAGATTTAAGGACAAAGAGCAGCTGTGGCTAATCAGGGAATTCCAAAGGATGGGGAAAAAAGCATCAACATCACTGTACCCAAGACTCTGCTCTTTACCATCCAAGTACTAACCAGGCCCAACCCTGCTTAGCTTCCAAGATCAAGCACATTCAGAGTGGTATGACCATAGACAACCCTGCTCTTTCTTTTTTGTATTCTGGCCTTTCCAGTTTAGCTCTTGATAAACTACATCAGAAATTCTTTATCATGTTTTTCCAAATCCTATCCATTCTTCACATCCTAGCTCAAAAGTCCCATCTCTGGCGGGATGTGGAGGCTCACACCTGTAATTCTAGCACTCTGAAGATCAAGGCAGGAGGATTGCTTGAGGCCAGGAATTTGAGTTTGCAGGAGCTATGATAACACCACTCCAGCAGGGGCAACAGAACAAGACTGTCTCAAAAAAAAAAGTGCCATCTCTACAAAACTTTTTCTCATTACTTCAGGTAAGAATGTTCTTTGCGGCCGGGCGCGGTGGCTCACGACTGTAATCCTAGCTCTCCGGGAGGCCCAGGCGGGCGGATTGTTTGAGCTCAGGAGTTCGAAACCAGCCTGAACAAGAGCGAGACCCTGTCTCTACTAAAAATAGAAAGAAATTAATCAGACAACTAAAAATATATAGAAAAAATTAGCCGGACATGGTGGCGCATGCCTGTAGTCCCAGCTACTCGGGAGGCTGAGGCAGGAGGATCGCTTGAGCCCAGGAGTTTGAGGTTGCTGTGAGCTAGGCTAATGCCACGGCACTCTAGCCTGGGCAACACAGTGAGACTCTGTCTAAAAAAAAAAAAAAAAAAGAATGTTCTTTGCTTTATTCTAGCTCTAATACAATTTTTGAAGTATTGCTCATTTAGTCTTTGAATTCTATCTTTGCTGTTTAAATTTCATGATTATATGTTGTGTCCTATGAACTGGATTGTCAACTCTTGACTACTAACTGGAGGTTCATTGGTATTCAGCAAATGATGAATAAATGAGTGAAGTGAGAAATTTCTTGTGTAAGAATTGTCAACTTGAACCCTGTACTAATTATATACAGTTTAGGATCACTTACATTGAAAAATCATTGTTGACATTCAATATTGTTATAAGGAGTTTTGCATTTTCAGCTTGCAGTTTGAGAAAGTCCTCATGTGACTGAAATATGTGCTACTCTTAACTGAATAACCCAAGAACCTCTTGAATTAATACCTGGAGGAGATTCTACTGTTGGGAAGAGTGAATGGATTATGCATCCCTATTTTTTGAGAGTTCATTTTGTCCTTGGAATCCCTCACTACCATTTGACCTTGAAGTGTGATGACCCTTTCCTTAATACTTTGCTACACAGTTGAGGAGAAACTAAATTTGGATCTTTTATCAGCATAACTTAAACTGGAACATTATAAATGGTTTAGGGTAAGATGAGTATGTAACAGAACTTTTCTAATAGGAGGGAAAACATTAGATATTAAAAACACAGAATAACATAAGGATAACCTTATGTACAAAATAGGACTACTCAATTTCAGTTTTTGCTAGGATGGTATATAAGCTTCTGAACCCCACTGGGGGCTAGGTATCACTCTTCGATTCTCTCCGTGTACACGATAATAAATCCGTATGCCTTTTCTCCAATATAAAAAAATAGCTTGGAAAATCAAGGCAAACATAAACAAAAAGTAAGATGTAGAAACAAGTCCAACTATAACAAGAATAAACATAAATAAATTTACCAATTAAAAGATAAACTGTCAAATAGAAATAAAAAGAAAAATCTACCTGTATGCCATGTATAAGACATTCAAAACATAAGGATTTAAAACAGTAGAAGATAAAAGATAGAAAACCATATATTTTATCTTTTTGGGGCAAACTCTAAAAAAAGATTTTAAGACAAAAAAATTAGAAATAGAAAAGTCATTACCTAATGATAAAAAGTTGAATTCACCATAAAGACAGAATAAATTCTAAAGCTGTTTGTAACTAATAAAATAGCTTTAAAATATATACAGCAAAAAAATACTAGAACTATAGGCGGTGGCAAGTTTCCATGCAACTCTCTCAGTTCTTGAAAGGTTAAGCAAATAAAAAACAGTGCATTGCTCTAGGCCCTGTGAATGCAGAAGCAAACAGACATACCATTGCCTTCATGGAAATCCCACATGCCAATGGGGTGATAAAAACAAATTAACAAAAATATAATCAAATTCTGGATAATGATAAATAAAGAAAAATGAAGCAGGATAAAAAGATAGAGCCTAATGGGGAAAGGTGGTTATTTTTATGTGGGTGGTAAAGGGAGGCTTCCTTGCGGAGGTCTCATTTATGCAGAGATATAAAT